TCTGTGCAAAATATATTATATATTTCACAAATATTTTGCTATACTCTGTTCAACAAATTAATATAAAAAACACAAGTTAATGTATATATGATAGTGCAAAATTGTGTTCCTTGCGCTAGCTACTGATGTAAGACCATATTTATATCCACTGATGATGACATAAAATACTATGTCGAAACGTTTGGAAAAATTAAAGATTAATTTCTAAATCTTTGCCTTTTATTTGATGTATGCCCTTGAAGAACTTACTCATATATATATATATATATATATATATATATATATATGTATATATATATATATTAAAAATACAAAAGGTGACTCAAATATGTCAAGACGTGATTGATTCATTATCAATTTCTACGATTTTCAACACATAAACGTCAATTTGAAAAAGACACCTTTTGTATATGATTTTAACCCTATCTTTTGTCAGCTTGACAATACATTTTGAAGTAAAATCTTAGACTCGTTATTAGAAATATATATATATATATATATATATATATATATATATATATATATATATATATATAATATATATATAATATATATATTTATATTATCTAAGTCGATTACAAGTGTGTTAATTCGTCAGAAGGATGAGACGAAGCCCTTCAGCCCCAACAAAGAGGGATGATTCCCAAAAGGGGCGCGATGTAGTGCGAAAGCCATCTAAATATTTTTGGTCGCGTCTTTTGCCAAAGCATCCCCATGGGACAGATAAATGTTATGACATAACTTAACTGGGGAGAATATATATATATATATACACGTATATATAATATATATATATATAAATGACTTCTATGCTTAAAGGTAATCTGTGGACTAAGTAAAACTCAAACCGTCTTTGCCAATTCACACCGCAGTGCCCAAATAGAATGTACATAATAAATAAATTTGTTCAAGGATGAAACATATTTAATCATTTAACAGCTAATGTGTCAAAATAAAATTTAAGATTATTTAAATTTTTACAGTTTAGAAAACAAATTTATCTCATCAAACATCAAACACTAAATGATGAAATTACGTACACCGAAAAAATACACAAAACCGAAACACATTAAATTCGTAATTTTTTCTTAAAAAAATCTAACATTTTTATTTAAAATTCAATAATTTTAGACTAGTAAAGCGCAAAAGCTTTATAATTAAATATAACTAAATGAAGATAAAAAAAATTAAATTATTTTTTTAAATTTTGAAAATACATAGATATCTATATATAAAATTATTATTACTAATGCAACAAAATCAATTATGTATATTTTAAAAATGTAAAAAACAATGACCGAAAATAATAAGTATCATGAAAATGATATATAAAATATCTACCACACATTTTTTTACAAAAAAAACCCCAAATCAATTTTAATTGCAAATCTGTAATTTTTTAATATTAACTTTGCTGTAATATATTTTTATTTTTGTTGATTATTTTATGAATTTTAGATATTTATTTAACTAACTTCCTCCGAGATAAGTTATTGTAATCGTCCAGAAATCAAAATTAAAATTTTTTGCATATCTTTACGTTTTGAAAGTTTCTAAACATTTTGGCATACTTTAGATACATAGGATGTGTGTGTTATGTATGTATGGATACAGTTTTTCGTCCACGTTTTCGGGCGCACAGATCAACCGATTTGAATGGTTCAAAAAACATTCGATTCCTATTGATAGGGAGTGTGCTGATTAGTTTTTGGCAAAGGCAGGTCCAGCCGTTATGGAGATACGGAGCAAATAGTGCAGAAAATACAAATCGAGTTTTAGAGAGAACGGAGAGTATCGAATTTGACATGACCTAAAAAAACATTCAATTTGTAATGATTGGGAGAAAGGGTGATTTAGTTTTTGGCAAAGATAGGTCCCGCCATTTCGAAGATACTGAGCTAAATGTGCAAAAAGTGCCTGTTTTTGAGAGAACTAAGCATCCGATTTGAATGATTCAAAAAAAAAATCTGCTTGTGGTGACGAAACGATTGCTTTTGGAGAAAAAAAATTCTATAGTTTTGTATATAGTTTTAAACAAATATATATAATTATAAGTAATTTAAAATATAAGTGCTTTGTATTTTTGAATGCAAACTTAAAATATACCGTGTAAAAAAACATTTTGTCTTTTATTCAATTTTGTATAGATTTGTCACACCTTGAATTTATATTAGACATTACATAATAAATATAACATCACCAATTAAACTTAATACAAATAAAATAAAATGATTTTATATAGATACCAGATTATTCCAAAAAATCAAGTAATGAGACCCATAGATAAGGAAAATGAGGCCTGTAAATAATAATGCTTTTTAATATCAGATTTAAAGTTTAACCAGTGTAAATTTTTTATATAGTAAATTAATATTAGATCTATGTTTTAAAAGTATCTAAATAAATACCGATAAAAAAAAAATAAAAATTAATATGAATTAATTAAATAATTATAAATTTGCAATATTAAAAATATATTTATTGTATTTATGTAGACTAATTTTCTAAAGAAGAATTAACAGGAGCACATATCTCACTTTTTTATTTTTTTAATAACTGGACGGATGGATAATATTTATATATATATATATATATATATATATATATATAATATTTATAAAAATATATATCATACTGACCTCTCTCGTTCCATCTCCAAATCGAATCTCCTCCAGTAGAAATCTTCACTAACATATTTACACTGAACATTTTTTCACCAAGAGGTCACATCAACCTTTGATTAAATTTTAGAGATAAACAACTTGAATAACACATCACACAAAAATAAAATTATCTAGTACTAAATATTCTATTTTGTTTATCAAAATGTTTAACATAACTTACTAAAACACTATTACAACCCAAGAATTCTGCGAAAAATTCAACAATGTCATC